TTATCTCTGCGTGTGCTGTGTGGGTTCTCTTCTGAGGAGGATTCCTTTCCTGAAAGCTGATGGAGGCATAATACACCTCTGGTTCCGGCCCCAAAGTCAAGCTGTCCCCTGAAGAGTGTGAAGGGTCAGCGGTGCTGTCTAACATGGGCTTCGTCTGGTGGCCCTGTGTGGGGAACAAAGACCGAGGTTAGAGCCGGGCAGTTGGTGGCGGGGTGGGAGGGGGGTTCCCTGTAGTGAATTTGATTGTGGCAGAACATTTGTTCATTCTCCCATTCTTTCATTAAATGCTTGTTTTTAAAATTTTCCCTGGGATATGTTTATTGATTCGAGAGATGGGGGGTGGGGGAGAAAGATGCACTGACGAGAGAGAACATTGATCGGTTGCCTCCCCTACACGCCCCAAGGATTGAACCCGCAACGTAGGTATGTGCCCTGACCAGGGATTGAACTTGCAAACTTTTTCTGTATGAGACGTTGTTTGAACCATCTGAGCCACCCCTGCCAGGGGCACTAAATAGTTTTTAAGTTTCCATTTTTTCAGTTATCCAACAAACATAGCTCTTATTGGTTGTTCTCCAGTTCTGCTGAACACTTACACACACCTGTGTGGAAAATACAATTATTCTACAAAGAAAGATACTAAGTTTCAGAGAAGTTAGGTCCTTCTCAAGGCCACATGTCTACAGTGGGTGAACCCAACCCCAACCCCTGGGCTCTCTTGAGGTCTCCCGCTTCCCAGACACTGGACACATGGGATGAGGTTTATGAAAACTGACTTGTCTTTCTTTGTGCCTCTCCTTTGCTCTCACTCCAAGCAATTCTCCGACACCAGATGGGTGTCCTACAACTGGACTCAATTCTGACACTGTCTACTTGAAGGTATTGTCAGGGGCTCAGCCCCCCAAGATCAACCCCTCCCCGCTGCCATGTGAGGTGCCAATCCGAAGTCCAGGTTGTCACCTGAGCCATTGACCAACTGGCGATACATCAGAGGTTCCCACAACCTCAGCTAACTTGCTAGCATGACTCACAGGATTCAGGGAAGCCGTTTAATTACTATGTATCAGCTGTTTAAAAAAGTCTCCACCTGAGGATATGTTTATTGCTTTTACAGAGAGAGGGGGAGAGACAGAGAGAGAAACTCCTGCCTACACCCTGGCTGGGAATCGAACCTTCAATCTTTTGGTAAATAGGATGCTGGAACGATGTTCCCACCATCTGAGCCACCCAGCAATGGCTCCCAGATTTTTATAGAAGGCTATGATCAAGGAGACAGGCGAGCCTCCAGAGGAAGAGACGCACAGGGCGAGGAAAGAGGGAAGGGCCCGGAGCTCCTGTGTCCTCTCCACGTGCGCCCCTCTAGCACCTCCCCATGGTCGCCAACTTGGAAGCTCCCGGAGCCCCATACTTGGGATATTTATGGAGGTCTCATCATGGAGGCATGAACTATCCCTAATTCCATTTCCAGTCCCGCTCCCCTCTCTGGAGAATGGGCGGGGGGGGAGCGCTGCAACTACTAAGCTTTTAATCATGGCTTGGTCTTTTGGGGACCAGCCCTCATCCCAGAATCCACCAGGAGTTGCCTCATTAGGTAAGAAAGACCCTCGGATCACCCAGGAAATTGCAAGGGTTGGAAAAGTGCAACCATTTCTCGTACAGACTCCTTTCTTGGCCGTCGAGTCCCTGGAACATTTCTCAAGAGGCTTTCGACTTCCTCTTCTTGCAGCCTCTGGTGACCTCACTCCAATCAAGACATCTGGCTACACCAGGCCACCAGACCCACACTGTCCACGTCAGCTCTGGTACCGGAATCTAAAGGGTCATTTCTCAAGCCCTATCTTACCAGACTTAGTAGCACTTGAGAGGACAAAGAGCTTGTTCTCTCAAGTGCTTCCTTGTTTTCAAGGAAGAGTCTCTCTTTCTTGAAGTTTCATCCTCTTTCGGCCACAGGGAGCTCACCCAACGCTCTCCTGGTCATTTATTTTTCTTCACTGGTCTCCTTACTGTTTCCCCATCTCTCCCTGACTCCAAAAACTGAGGGTCTCAGAGCTCTGTCTGTAGACCCCTCCTCTTCTTTGTGGTGTCGTGCACTATCAGACCTTGATGTGGAAGACCCCCAAATCTCTGTGCCTCCCACCAGCCCCACCCTGACCTCCAGACTCTGACCCGCTGTTTGCCATCTTCACCTAAACGTCTCAGAAGTTCCTCAAATGTTCAGAAACCGAAACAAAGTCTGGCCTCTCAAACTATACCCTTCCTCAGAGTTGGCAATTTCAGGAAATGGTAATTCATTTAAGTCTCTCAGGGCGACCATAGTGGAGTCTTCCATGGTGTCTGTGGACATTTATAGACAGAAGGATGGACAGGCTTTGCAGCGTCTTGGTACAGGAAGAGCTGAAGGAAGCCTGGGCAGCATAGAGACTGGCCTCTGATTGGGTGTCAGCGACAAGAAGACCAGCTGCAAGGCAGAGCACCAGCAGAAGGATGTTTGGGGGAGTATTAACCACATCCCTCTTATGTTTTGACATTGGGGGCTTTGCTCATCCTAGAGAAACCATCCCTGCCAGGCCTAGCCAACAGCGAGTGATAGTGAGGGACTGGCCTGCACATGTGACTTTCATACCGCAAACCAGCCAGTCCCAAGTCCACACCTCGTCCCGTCCCTGTCACGGAGCTCTGACACTCCGACCACTCGCCCCCTGCCCTGACCACAGCAGGGCCAGGCGCCAGGCAGCAGGAGGCCGCCCCGCCACCCCAGCGGCCTCTGGGGTTACTGAGCCCCGCCAGGCCCGGGCCGGCCTCCCCGGCCTCGCCCCCCCCTCTGCGTCCTGGCCGGCCCAGGGCTGCCCACCGTGGCCCCGTAGGCCGGCGTTTCTCCTCCTCTGGGGAAGTGTGAGCAACAAACGGAGGCAATTGTCTCCTGATGTGTTGGGCCGAAACCCTGAAGGATAACAGAGCCTACGTTTTCCAAAAGGGTGGGACGTGAAGAGCTCATTTCTGGATACACCGAATGGAGCGCGACCATAGGCCACCAAGGAAATGGTGGGGGGCGCAGGCTGTGTCCCCGAAGCCCAGGCCACTCACCACGGGAGCCGGCGCCATGGCTGCGCCCACGTCCCCTGCTGTCCTGGCTGCTTTCTTCCTGCAGGTCCTCTTCACTCTGTGGGGGACACCGGGGTCCTTGTCACGGAGTCTCTCCCTGAGGCGGGAGTGAGTGACGAGGGCAGGGCCAGGGAGGGACAGGACGAGGAGCCTCCCTAACAAGGCTTTGTAACCAGGTCCACCTGCCCTCGGTGTCTGGGGTCGGAGCTGGGAACAGACTGGTCCAGCGCCGACCGTCTGGGTTCTCGCTCCATCTGTGCCCCCACACTTGCTCCGGGCCCGCCGAGCCCTCCAGGCCCCCAGCCTGCACCCCCGGGCCACCCCGCAGGCCGCTCACAGGAAGTAGCCGATGCAGAGGCAGACGGCCAGCAGGGCGGTGACGGCGGCTCCCCCGACGGCCCCCCGAACCACGCCGGCCTTGGTCTCTGGTTCCCCTGCACACAGGAGAGACCCGGGTGAACTCCAATCTGAACGAGCAGGCACACGTGCCCTCCTCTCACGCATGAAGCAAAGGGGGCCCCTCGGCCCCCACACAGGCTCAGCACAGAGATTCCCCGGAGCCGCGGCACCAAGGGCACGGCCTGCGGACCCCCAGCCAGGCCCCACGCTCCTGGGCAGCAAACCCCACCACTTCCAGCGCCAGGTCCCTCTCCCTCTGGGTGTGTCTGGAGCAGCCGCGGCCCTGGCTGCCCAAGACCCGCAGCCTCAGGGCCCCGTGGGCGTTCCCGCGGAGACACACAGAGCGCCTCTCCTTCCTTCCCGCGAAGGACTCTGAATCTTCTCTCCTGGCCCCCACAGGCCCTGCCACTCAGGGTCAAAGGTGGCCTTTGCGCCCCCAGAAGGGGGCAGAAGCAGGGAGGTTGCCAGGTTCCCCCGTGGGCCCCAGACCCTTCTCCTGGTTCTGTGTGGCCAGCCTCCGGGGGCCCCGCCCGGGGTCAGAGAAGTGTCTCTGGGCACCACCGGCCTGATGGCACTGCTGAGCGAGTCCTGACAAGGTCACAGTCCAGTGGGGTGGGGCCCAGATGCCGCCCCCAACGGGAGTAGGGCGTGGGGAGCACGGGGCTCCAAGAGGCAGGTCGGGTCAGGACCAAGAGGCGGACATCGAGAAACAGCCCAGAGAGATCATTTTGCACCATGAAAAGACTCTGCATGTGACTTAACGGTGGACACACAACATTATACAACATCCACACCCACAATGTGTCCAGCACCGAGAGGGACCCTAATGTAGAACGTGGATGGGGGTGATGGAGGCAGGTCCATGCAGGTTTGCTGAATGTACGGATGTCTCCGCTGGGGGCGGACGCGCTTGTAAGAAAGGGGGCGGCAGGTTGAGGGACAGTCTCTCTACCTTCTGCTCCGCTGTGCTGTGGACCTGTAAGTGCTCTAAACACTGAAGTCTCCCCCAAAAGGGCCCCAGCACCTGTGACTGGAGCCTCAGCAGGGTGAACAAGGAGGAGCTTGCAGGTCACGCTTGGGAGACGGCAGTCAAGGCAATGGGGGAGGAGCCTGAAGGGGGTGCCCACATCTAACCGAGCCCCGCCCCCCCGAAATCTGGGGGACCAGCTCTGACCAGCCAGGCACAGACCCCTCTTCGGTCAACGCCACATGGGGGGCACACTCCTTCCCACCTGGACCGTCTCCTGGGCAGGCACCGGTGGCGCGGTTCTGGGGGTCACCTGGGGCAGGACCACAGGGGTTCCCTCTTCAGTGGGTGGGACACGTGCGGGCCTCCCCCGACCCCGCGAGGCAACAGCAACGCAGGGCAAACAGGGCTTTGTCCCCTGGGTCCCCTCCTCAGCCAGGCCCCCCGGACAGAAGCTCCGGCTCCGCAGCCGGGCTCCTCAGCTCCCACGCCCTCGGGGACCCTGCTGTTCTCCCGCGACACTCACACTCACAGCTGACGTTGAGCCGGACGGTCCTCCCCACAGTCACACCCGCTGCGGGGAACTGCACCTGACAGGTGAGGGCGGAGCCGTGGTCCTGGGCCCGTGGGCGGAGGGTGAGCACGGAGGACAGGCGGGTGCTGGGGCCCAGGGCGGCGGGGGCAGCGGACGTCCAGGAGAAGAGGGGGGGCGTGCCCCGCTCACAGGCCCAGGGCGCAGAGCAGGTCAGGTTCGTGGGGCGGCCACACTCCAGGGCCCCCGGGACGAGGATGTCAGGGGTGCGGTTGAGGGCTGGGGAGGACGAGGGGGGCAGGGATCAGGAGGGAGGGTCCAGGGTGCAGCCCCGAGAGAAGCCTCAGGCCTTGGTCCAGCTCTTCCTTCTGAGCCCCTACAACATGCAGCCCCACCCCCTCCCAGGGCGGGGACACGGCCGCCCTGCCCCGGGGCCACCACGCACCTCCCTGTGGCCTCCCCTGGAGCCAGGTCCTTACCTGTCACATGCACAGAGAGCATGTGTTTCTTGTATGAATGTGCCACATGTCTTCCTCCCTCCACGTGAAAATAGTACACTCCGTCATCAGTCCTCCTGGCGTCTCTGATGTTCAGGGAGCAGTTGTAGGTCCTGGGATCCCCGAGGAGGTGGAATCGGCCCCAGGTCGCCTCTTCCACGTTACGATCCTGGTTGTTTGTGGCCACGGGAGCCTCCCAGTAATTAGCTCCTTCCCGGAACCAGTAGCCATGAGCTGGGCTGTCATAATACCAGGTGAAATCTGGAGGAACGAAGGAGCAGGGCACAGAGACGCACAGGCCCTCCTGCACCGTCACGGACGGCTGTATTCTCAGGCTGTGCCGTTCCTCCTGAGCCAGGGTCCCTGCAGGGAAAGGAGGGTCAGCGGCTGCCCGCCCCCCACCCACACCCCTCCCCTGGGGCACTCACCCGCCCACAGCAGGGACAGCAGCAGCGGCAGCATCTCTGACTAGGAGGGTGTCTGGGCTCCTGTGGGTGAGCAAAGAATGAAGGCAGGGGAGGGGCTGTGGGGAGATCAGAGAAGCTGGGAGGAGCAGGAGATCGGGCCGTTTCCAAAAGAGGAACCTCAGAGCCAAAGCCCGTCCCTCCCTGCACGGGACCGGCAGACACCCTGCAGCCCAGCTGCCACCAGCCGACCCGAGTCCTGCCCCACCTTGGAGGCTCCCCCACCACAGCAGAGCAGGGCCGGGGTTTCCGAGGACCTCAGAGGACGGGACACAGGAGTCTCTAACTGTCCCTCCATTAGAGGGGCTGGTCAACTCCGGCCTGAGCAGAGGTCGCACACTCACCTGGGAGCTGTGCTCAATAAGGCAGCGCTCCCTCGCTCCCTCGCTCACTCGCTCCCCCCTCGCTCCCTCGCTCCCTCGCTCCCTCCCTCACGAGCGAGCGCTCAGTGGGGATCTAAGGCAAGAAGGGACAGGGAGACATGGCTCATGTCCCTGAGGTGGTCCCCAGCAGAGACGGCCCTCCTCCCCGCAGAGGAACGGTGGCTTTAGAGCAGAGGTCACTGGTGAGCTGACCTCGTGTCCTGCTCGCGTCCTGGGTATTTTCTAAAGATACCAGTGTGGCATTTTTGTTCTTACATCTCATGTGCTGACTGGTAAGGCTACGGTGGCATCTCCAAAATGAACACCATTAGCACCTACAGGTAAAACAAAAGGAAGACACATGTCCTACAAGCTAGTGCAGAGGAAATATTTGCTTAGAATTTCCCAGCTCTCACTGAGTGTGAGCCGGACAGCTGGCTTCAGTTCCTCATCACACCGATGAGCATTTGCAGTCATGGAGCTCTCTGCCTCCAGTTCTCCCAGGCGTCAAGGACAAAGTTGTGGGGAAACAATGCGTCAAACATCTCTTTCTATGTTACGCAATGTAGTTTTCACACGGAGTATACGTATCTCAGTCTTTGGCAGTCAGACGGTGTTTGCCTTTCCAAATGAACTACCTCCATTCCTTTCTCAGGTGAAAAACCTCACATTTCCCTCGTTGCATTGGGCGGCAGGCATCTCAGGGACACATTTAGTTCTTAATTTCAGAAACATGTTGTTCTAACTTCCTGATACTATTGGGTCTACTTGCCTACACGATTTGTGTTCTGCCTTATCAATTGCTACCTTAGCCTGGCCGGTGAGGCTGAGTTGTTCGGAGCGTCGCCCTCTAACCGAAAGGTTGCAGGTCACGTGCCTCGGTTGCCGAAGCGACCCCAGGTCTGGACATGTAGGGGGGCAACCAGTCGATGCCACCCTCTCACATCAAAGTTTCTCTCTCTCCCTTCCTCTCCCCCTGAAAGCAATGAAAGAACTGTCCTCGGGTGAGGATAAGGAAACTTGGTCTCTTACAAGGGCTGTGCAAGTGTAAGTTACCTCAGATTCTTAGTGAGACTATGAGGATCCAATTTCTACATGAAGCAGACACATGTCAGAATTGTTGACAGATCTGCTTCTCACACTTAAGTGCGTCTCAAAACCATAATATGACGAGGAAACAAGGGGACCGTGCAGCTAACATCAAATGTGAGGTTCGGCTCACGTGAGGGTGCCTCTGAGTCTGTGGAGCGTCTAGCAAATTCTTCACCCCGGGGACACAGAGCTCTTGTCACCGCCTCTTTGTCAACACAGTGGTGTCTTCAGAGATGGCCCTTCAGCCTCACTGATACATAGAGATTGGTGCCCTCATGTGTTGTAGAAGAAACTGCGTCTCCGGTTTGTAATTTCTAATACCAAGTGATACTAAGCATGTTGGCGTGGGCTTAGTTACCTTTATCTTTCTGACTGGGTGAAACGGCTCATTAAACCTTTGGCCGCTTCTTCAAATTATGGTAACACATGCTTAACAAAGACAGTTTTAATTTCCTGGGTCGGTGGCATGAATATCTGCCTGTTGCTGTGTGGCCAGCAGCACCGTCCATCTCTAGGACATGCGTCATTTTCCCCAAACTGACACGTCGTGCCTATAAAACACCACACAGTGTTTCTCCGTTCCTTCGTGGATGGGCCCGTAGGTTGCTTTCACCTTTTAGCTCGTGGTGACTAATGCTGCTTTGAACAGGCCTGGATAAGTATCTATTACAGTCCTTGCTTTCAATTCCACATGTGAATACCCAGAAGTGAAAATACTGCAACATATGGTTTTCTATTTTTAATGTTTTGAGGAACTCCAATCCTGTGTTCCAAACCGGAGGCAGCGTTTTGCAATGGAGAGTGAAGCCCAAGAGGGCAGTTTATTTTCAATTTATTTTCTTATCCACTCCAATACTTCTTTTATTTTTTTTAGTTTTTTTTTTAAAAAGAGAGTATTTATTTATTTTTAGACAGAGGGGAAGAGAGGGAGAAAAACACCCATGCGTGGTTGCCTGTTTCATGCCCCCGACCAGGAACACGGCCTGCAACGCAGGCCTGTGCCCGGACTGGGAATCAAACCAGTGACCCTTTGCTTCGCAACCCTGTGCTCAATCCACTGAGCCACATCAGACAGGGCATGTTTTTCAGTTTTCTGATAATAGTCAACTTACAGAATCATGGTGAAACCTCCTTGTGTGCTTTAATTTAAATTAATCTAGTAATGTGGAACATATTTTCAAGAATTTATTGCCCATTTGTATGTCTTTATAAAAATATCTTGTCCAATAACTGATGAAACTTAAGCAGGGTATTTCTTTTCTTTGTGTTGAGTGACTTTTTCTTCTATCACTGGGTTGTTTTGTGTTTATTGCTTTGTTTGAGAGTCCTGAGTATATTCTGCCGCAAGCCATTCATGAAGCCTATATTTTCAGATTTTTTCCCCAAGTTGTAGTTTTTCACTTAATTTTCCTACTAGTGGTTTTTGTAGAACAGCAAGGGCCCGTAGCCAAAACGTGTGCCGCTCATGAGGTGACCCTGCAATGTATGGGGACGGGGAAGAGCGGAGGAGACCGGGTCTGGAGGCCAGACGGGGACACTCACGGGGCGCAGCAGGTCACGTGGGCAGGGCGGGAGGCTGACTAGTGGGCACCAAAGGAGAGCCTGGAGCCTGCACACGTCACCTGAAGAGGAAAAGGGGGCTTTGCAGAAGGGAGTGAGTGGGGGGGGGTCGTGACCTGGAGATGACCCTGGCTCGTCGGGGTTGGTGCCAGAGTGTGGTCACGCGTGTCCTCCGAGAGAGAAACAGCAGGTGACTTTCTGCACGCAGAGCCGGGGGAGGCGGTTAGGCCAGGAGACACTGGCAGTGACCCAGACACCCACCAAGGGCAGGCGGCTGCCACTGCCCTGGGAATCACAAAGACCGACTGTCCCCCGGAGCCTCGAGGGCGTGCATCCCAGCCAACACCCTGCTTTCTGCTCATCGGAACTCATTGCGCATCTTGGGCTCCAGGACATGTCACCCCCAGGCTGTGGCACCGGGTTGTCCCCTGTCCCAGGGGTCTCAGGCGACAACGGGGGGGGGGGGCAGAGGAAGAAGATAGTGTACCTCCTGCATGAATTTCTGGCCACAAGAACCAAGAGAATACAGCTTTTTAAAACAAAGACACTGACTGTGTGGTAACTGGTTACAATGGCCTCAGGAACGCCGCCCTGGTGGGAATTCATGAGGCTCCTCTGGGAAAATGCAGAGAAGGAATCGAGAGAAGTCCTCCTCCTCCCGATCCACTCCTCTCTCCCCCTTTGCAGCCAAGACCTTTAAAGGGTTTTCTGGACCCTGTATTCCCATACCCCTTCCTCCGACTCTCTCCTGATCGTGCTCCAGTTACGTCCTCAGGCCTTTCCCACCAGCCTCTGAAACCCGGGGACAAGGCGTTTCCGGTGTCGTCTCCTCCCTCCGGGCCATCGCAGCCTTCTCCCCACCGTTGTCATCCTCTTACACTGACCACCGCGCCACATCTCCCGTCTCGCCCTGTCTCCCCATCTCCAGGCCTTCACACCGGCTCTAGCGCTGACGTCTCCCGCTGGTCACGAGGCGGCGCCTCAGAAGGAGCATCCCCTCAGAGCCCCTCTCTGGGTCCCTGAGACACACGCCGCCCTCTCCCCGGCTCAGTGCTGTAGCATCTTCAGTTACTCACACTCTACCCTCTTGTCTCCAGAAGGACAGCTTCCGGGGGACATCGATTTTGAGGCCGGGTTCACGTCGCATCCCCAGCGTCTAAGTCAAGGCTGGCACACAGTGGGTGTTCAGTCGTACTTGCTAAAGAGGAGAGAAATAACTGACGCTGTGTTAGGGCCACGCCACACAAGAATTACACACGCACTCGTGCGATAAGTCAGTGCATGTTCCCCAAAGAACGCCCAGCACTTGGAGACGTGGGGCCGTTGGGCAGAAGGAAGCGCACGAGCAAAGCCTCAGAGTCACAGAGGCCCGGCCCCTGTGGGTGTGGAGATGGTGTGAGAATCGGGAAGAGGGCGGAATCCGGCGGGCAGTCCGGCAGGGCACAGGCCACGCCAGCCCTCAGACAAATCCCGCAGAGTCTGCCCCTCGTCCCTGGCCGTGGAGAGGAAACATCACTGTTGGGACCATGCAGGGCACGGACGATGGGTGTCTGCAAACACAGTCGGGACGTCCGTGCTGAGGACAGAGGTGGAGACAGGACGTTGGTGTTGGGTTCAGAGGCCCAGGGAAGAGATGAGGCCGCAGGAACGCCCAGGGTCAGGCCGGGGAGGAGACAGGCATGCAGCTGAGCTGTGAAAGGAGGCAGGACGGACAAGACTTAGTGATTTTATTGAATCACCAAGAAGAAAGGGAGGGCACAGTGTCGTATGTGTGACCGGGACCCTGCAAAACAGTGGTTTTGGGGAGGAAGCTGGCAGCTCAGCTATGAGCACGCTGAGCAGAGCAATCCCAGGGACCGTCCCGGAGGCGGTGTCAGTGGCGTGTTGGGTAGTGAGACTCCTGGGCCACGCACCTGAGGCATTACCCGGAGACTGCGTTTGCGTCTCTCACGCCCCTTGGGGGCCTCGTCACCTTCCTCCGGTGGCACCTGGCTCTGGGAGAAGAGACCGGGGTGTTCCAGTCTGGTGGGATTAGGGTGCAGTGGGCAGCAGACGCAACCCCCGGTCTCTTTCTCAAGGGTGGGAGGGGAGAGGGGAGTGGGAGAGGGGGGCTGCTGCCCCGCTGCACTGCAAGAACCTCCCAGCGGGGACACTTGGCTGGTGGGGCTCTCACAATGCCGGCCCGTGTGGGGTCCTCACTCAGCTCCCCTTCCTCTCCCACCAGCACTACCCCTGATGTGTCAGGCGCCCGGCCCTGGTTCTGGGCTCAGCCACGTGCCCCCTGCCCTCCGCGCCCACCCATCCTCCCGGGGCTGAGCTCACGTGAGGACCAGGAGGCAGAGGAGGAGGAGCAGGGTCTTGGCAGCTGCTTCCCCGATGGCCACCAGCACCACCTGGGCCCCGGGCCCCGATTTTCCTGCAGGGCCACTTGCTTGACTGCTCTCCTGAGTCCTTCCGCTCCCAGGGGGACCTTGTCCTCCAGGACAGCCTGTGCCGGCAGATTCGGGGCCTCATGTGCCTTCGTCCCTGACCCGCCATAACCCTCAACAGTTGGACGCGAAATCAAGGGCCTCAGTTGGAAGCGATCAAATGACACATCCTGTTCATCAGCTAACATTATGGAGAAAGTGAAAAGCCAGCCCACTTAATGGAAGAAGAGACTGGGTAATCATAGATCTGATAAGGTTCAGTGTCCAGCACATACGAGGAATTCTTACCACCCTGGCCGGCGGTGAGGGTAGAGAGTCGGCCCGACGCACAAAGGCTGCAGGTTGGATCCCTGGCCAGGGCACACGCAAGGGGCAGCCAACGAAGGAATGAATAAGTGGAACAACACATCAATGTTTCCCTCTCTCTCTCTCTCTCTCATATCAATGTTTCTAAATCTTAAAAAAAGCTCTTAGGTCTCAACCCCAAAAAGTCAACCAACCCACAACAATGGGCCAAGGCCTTGAAAAAAATTTTCTCCCAAGATCACACAGAAATCAATAATACATTCACAAGAAAACAAACAGCATCATTATTATCCCAGAAATGCAAGCCAATGCCAACGTGAAATCGCCCTTCACACCCACTAGTAGCCCATAGTGTTTTGAGAAGGGAAATGAGAACGTTTCCCTGAGAAGGGTGACTGTGTGGGGAAACGGGAAGCCTGACACTTTGCTGGTGGGAATGTGAGATGGTGTGGCCATGGTGCAAAACAGTCTGGAATTTCCTCAAAAAGTTACACTAACAACTACCATTTGACTCAGGAAGTCCACGCCCAGGCAGATGCCCCAGAAAACGTGTGTTGAACAATAAAGAATAACCAATGCTCACGGCAGCATTACAACCACCAAACAGGGGCGAACACCCAAGTGTGCATCAACCGAAAATGGATGAACCGAATGCGATACATCCACGCAACGGCACATGATTAAATACAACACGCAGAAGACGTATAACGGAATTGTCCGCCTGAGCCTATATAACTCTATGTCCCAACGTGACCCACAGCAGGCTCCTTCCCACTGGGGCCGTCCCCTGGGCGGGCACCGGTGGCGGGGTTCTGGGGGTCACCTGGGGCAGGACGACAGGGGTTCCCTCTTCAGTGGGTGGGACACGTGCGGGCCTCCCCCGACCCCGCGAGGCAACAGCAACGCAGGGCAAACAGGGCTTTGTCCCCTGGGTCCCCTCCTCAGCCAGGCCCCCCGGACAGAAGCTCCGGCTCCGCAGCCTGGCTCCCCTGCTCCCACGCCCTCGGGGACCCTGCTGTTCTCCCGTGACACTCACACTCACAGCTGACGTTGAGCCGGACGGTCCTCCCCACGGTCACACCCGCTGCGGGGAACTGCACCTGACAGGTGAGGGCGGAGCCGTGGTCCTGGGCCCGTGGGCTGAGGGTGAGCACGGAGGACAGGCGGGTGCTGGGGCCCAGGGCGGCGGGGGCAGCGGACGTCCAGGAGAAGAGGGGGGGCGTGCCCCGCTCACAGGCCCAGGGCGCAGAGCAGGTCAGGTTCGTGGGGCGGCCACACTCCAGGGCCCCCGGGACGAGGATGTCAGGGGTGTGGTTGAGGGCTGGGGAGGACGAGGGGGGCAGGGATCAGGAGGGAGGGTCCAGGGTGCAGCCCCGAGAGAAGCCTCAGGCCTTGGTCCAGCTCTTCCTTCTGAGCCCCTACAACATGCAGCCCCACCCCCTCCCAGGGCGGGGACACGGCCGCCCTGCCCCGGGGCCACCACGCACCTCCCTGTGGCCTCCCCTGGAGCCAGGTCCTTACCTGTCACATGCACAGAGAGCATGTGTTTCTTGTATGAATATGCCACATATCTTCCTCCCTCCACGCGAAAATAGTACACTCCGCCATCAGTCCTCCTGGCGTCTCTGATGTTCAGGGAGCAGTTGTAGGTCCTGGGATCCCCGAGGAGGTGGAATCGGCCCCTGGTCGCCTCTTCCACGTTACGACCTTGGTTGTTTGTGGCCACGGGAGCCTCCCAGTCATTAGCTCCTTCCCGGAACCAGTAGCCATGAGCTGGGTTATTATACCGTGTGAAATCTCGGTGGACGAAGGCGCAGGGCACAGAGACGCACAGGCCCTCCTGCACCGTCACGGACTGCTGTATTCTCAGGCTGTGCCGTTCCTCCTGAGCCAGGGTCCCTGCAGGGAAAGGAGGGTCAGCGGCTGCCCGCCCCCCACCCACACCCCTCCCCTGGGGCACTCACCCGCCCACAGCAGGGGCAGCAGCAGCGGCAGCATCTCTGACTAGGAGGGTGTCTGGGCTCTTGTGGGTGAGCAAAGAATGAAGGCAGGGGAGGGGCTGTGGGGAGATCAGAGAAGCTGGGAGGAGCAGGAGATCGGGCCGTTTCCAAAAGAGGAACCTCAGAGCCAAAGCCCGTCCCTCCCTGCATGGGACCGGCAGACACCCTGCAGCCCAGCTGCCACCAGCCAACCCGAGTCCTGCCCCACCTTGGAGGCTCCCCCACCACAGCAGAGCAGGGCCGGGGTTTCCGAGGACCTCAGAGGACGGGACACAGGAGTCTCTAACTGTCCCTCCATTAGAGGGGCTGGTCAACTCCGGCCTGAGCAGAGGTCGCACACTCACCTGGGAGCTGTGCTCAATAAGGCAGCCCTCCCTCGCTCCCTCGCTCCCTCGCTCCCTCGCTCCCTCCCTCGCTCCCTCGCTCCCTCCTTCACGAGCGAGCGCTCAGTGGGGATCTAAGGCGAGAAGGGACAGGGAGACATGGCTCATGTCCCTGAGGTGGTCCCCAGCAGAGACGTCCCTCCTCCCCGCAGAGGAACGGTGGCTTTAGAGCGGAGGTCACTGGTGAGCTGACCTCGTGTCCTGCTTGCGTCCTGGGTATTTTCTAAAGATACCAGTGTGGCGTTTTTGTTCTTACATCTCATGTGCTGACTGGTAAGGCTACGGTGGCATCTCCAAAATGAACACCATTAGCACCTACAGGTAAAACAAAAGGAAGACACATGTCCTACAAGCTAGTGCAGAGGAAATATTTGCTTAGAATTTCCCAGCTCTCACTGAGTGTGAGCCGGACAGCTGGCTTCAGTTCCTCATCACACTGATGAGCATTTGCAGTCATGGAGCTCTCTGCCTCCAGTTCTCCCAGGCGTCAAGGACAAAGTTGTGGGGAAACAATGCGTCAAACATCTCTTTCTATGTTACGCAATGTAGTTTTCACACGGAGTATACGTATCTCAGTCTTTGGCAGTCAGACGGTGTTTGCCTTTCCAAATGAACTACCTCCATTCCTTTCTCAGGTGAAAAACCTCACATTTCCCTCGTTGCATTGGGCGGCAGGCATCTCAGGGACACATTTAGTTCTTAATTTCAGAAACATGTTGTTCTAACTTCCTGATACTATTGGGTCTACTTGCCTACACGATTTGTGTTCTGCCTTATCAATTGCTACCTTAGCCTGGCCGGTGAGGCTGAGTTGTTCGGAGCGTCGCCCTCTAACCGAAAGGTTGCAGGTCATGTGCCTTGGTTGCCGAAGCGACCCCAGGTCTGGACATGTAGGGGGGCAACCAGTCGATGCCACCCTCTCACATCAAAGTTTCTCTCTCTCCCTTCCTCTCCCCCTGAAAGCAATGAAAGAACTGTCCTCGGGTGAGGATAAGGAAACTTGGTCTCTTACAAGGGCTGTGCAAGTGTAAGTTACCTCAGATTCTTAGTGAGACTATGAGGATCCAATCTCTACATGGAACAGACACATGTCAGAATTGTTGACAGATCTGCTTCTCACACTTAAGTGCGTCTCAAAACCATAATATGACGAGGAAACAAGGGGACCGTGCAGCTAACATCAAATGTGAGGTTCGGCTCACGTGGGGGTGCCTCTGAGTCTGTGGAGCGTCTTGCAAATTCTTCACCCCGGGGACACAGAGCTCTTGTCACCGCCTCTTTGTCAACACAGTGGTGTCTTCACAGATGGCCCTTCAGCCTCACTGATACATAGAGATTGGTGCCCTCATGTGTTGTAGAAGAAACTGCGTCTCCGGTTTGTAATTTCTAATACCAAGTGATATTAAGCATGTTTGCGTGGGCTTAGTTACCTTTATCTTTCTGACTGGGTGAAACGGCTCATTAAACCTTTGGCCGCTTCTTCAAATTATGGTAACACATGCTTAACAAAGACAGTTTTAATTTCCTGGGTCGGTGGCATGAATATCTGCCTGTTGCTGTGTGGCCAGCAGCACCGCCCATCTCTAGGACATGCGTCATTTTCCCCAAACTGACACGTCGTGCCTATAAAACACCACACAGTGTTTCCCCCAGGGTGGAAGGTGCCTCCCAGTTATTAGCTCCTTCCCAGAACCAGTAGCCATGAGCTGGGCTGTCATAATACCAGGTGAAATCTGGGAGAACGAAGGAGCAGGGCACAGAGACGCACAGGCCCTCCTGCACCGTCACGGACGGCTGTATTCTCAGGCTGGTCGTTCCTCCTGAGCCAGGGTCCCTGCAGGGAAAGGAGGGTCAGCGGCTGCCCGCCCCCCACCCACACCCCTCCCCTGGGGCACTCACCCGCCCACAGCAGGGGCGGCAGCAGCGGCAGCATCTCCGACAAGGACGGTGTCTGGGCTCCTGTGGCTGAAAGGAGAAGAGAGGCGGCGATGTGGGGGCCCAGGAAGCGCGTCTGACAGAACCGCAGGAGGTACATGGGGCCTCCCCGTCCACAGAAGAGAAACCTCAGAGCTGGAGCTCGTCCCCTCTGCACAGAGTGGGCGGCCTCCCCGCGGCCCAGAGACACCGGGGTCCTGGCCTCCACGTGTGGACCGGGAGGCCCCATCGGACCGAGGAGGGGGCAGCCGGGGCCTCCGCAGATCCGGGGCTGACGGGCAATGGGCCGGTCCGAGTCCTCCGGGCCGGGCCGGGAGCTGGCGGGCCCTGCGTTGGCCCTGGGGAGCGGGAGCGGTCGCGTCCCAGCCCGAGAGGCGCACACATGTCGTCGACGCATGTGGTTCTGCACCAGAGGCATCAGCCCTGCCCACTCAGGGGACATTTGTTCCTGCCTGGGCACCGTTGATTGTCACAGCTCGGGAGGAGGGCGTGACTGGACGTGCGTGGACAGGGCCTAGAGGCGTTTCTACACAGCCGGCACCGCGCAGGACGGCCTCCGGCAGCCAGGCCACGGGCCAGCAGTGAGAGGTCGAGAAGCCCCGGTCTCGTCCCCGGGGGCAGGCGGGCCCGGGCTGTGGCTGTGCGGCTGGGAAACAACAGTGATGGCCCCGCCGAAGGGTAGGAGGCAGCCATGGCCGGGCTCACGCAGCCATTCACGCGTTCCCTCCCTCCCTCCCTCCCTCCCGCCCTCTTTCACAGCCACAGAGGGAGCCTGCGCCCCGCGTGGGGCCAGAGGCCGCGGAGACCCAGCGCACCGTCCACGCCCTGAGATGGGCCCCACTTGGGGGAGGGACGGACGACCTCCGGGACCTGCCTGGTAGACGCTGTGGCAGTGAAACACAGCTGGGCGGGGACCGGCTGGTGGCCCCTGGGCCCCGAGAGCACACTGGACGTGGGGACTCCCAGGGGACAAGAAGGAGGACTCCCAGCTCTGGGCCGTCAACAGCGCGGAGGTGCCATCCAGACGGGGCGCAGCGCTCTGCCCCCTCCCTGCTCAGGGGGCCCCTGCGGGGGGACCCGCCGCCCTCCGTGGCCTCCAGGCCTGTCCTCGTTTCTCACGTCCCTGTCTCCTGCTTGTCCCCGCTGCCGGAGGCCACCCTGCCCCCCTCCCAGGGCCGTAGCTTCAGACAGCAGGACACCTGTCTGCCCTCCTTGCCTTCACTCGCTGACCGCCCTGCGGGGAGGCGGGCATGTCTGTTACCGCGTGCGGGGCGGGGACAGACACACGGGCGCTGACCCCTGGCTGGACGATGGGGGCAGAGTGCAGGGAGCTCCCGAACCTTCCCCCCTCCGCCCTGTGGAGGGTCAGCGGGGGCTGCAGGAGGGTGGCTTCAGCGGCTCCCGCCCCAGCCCTGGCCTTGCCCACACCCCTCTTCCCGGTCTCTGGTCCCCAGAACCCCTGGACACCAGCCACATGCTGAACGGGCCCCGGGCCCTTCATCAAGGCGCCCTCCCCCCAGGCCCGGGGTCCCCGGGACCAGCCCCGCACACCCTGTCCCGGCAGCAGCAGGGCCGCTGTGGTCCGGGGTCCTGGCGTCCCTGGGGCTGAACCTGGGGGAAGGTGGCGCTGCCGTCCTCGCCCCAGCTGAGCTGAGGCCTCCCTGGCCTGGACCAGCTCCCCCCTTCCCCGGTCTCTCTCACCTTCCGCAGGAGCAGCCCGCACACCGCCTGCCCCTACGCCCCTCGGCACCGGGACGCAGTGACTCCCGGGCACCAGCCAGTGCCAGGCTCGCAAGGTGAGCTCCTCTCTTTTGGCCGCCCCCACCCAGGGCAGCTGCACACCCGGTCCCCTGAGGCCTGGACGGCACCCAGGATGTGGCCCTGGGACATTTTGATCACCTCTTCACCCCATCTGGGCTGGAAGATTCCTACCGTCGGGCCTCGGTGAGGGCGGAGCTCGTGGCAGTTGATATGGAGCCAGTTAGATTGACTGGAGCATGTGAGTCCCTTACGGTCACTGCTGAGGGTAATCCTTTGGGGGGCTTGGATAATCCTTTCGAACGAAGTCTGCCTCTATCTAGATCCAGATTTATTTTTTATGTGACAGACTGAAGGATGAAATCCAGCCTCCTCTGCGGGGCTACATGTCCTGGGAGAGCAGACCCCAGACAGACTTCCAAGACCATGGCCCCACCCTGCCTCCCTTACCCCAGGTCCTAGCTGTGCTCACCGACTGCTCCTGCCAATACCGTTGCTGGGACCTCTCCCAGTTCCTTGCTTTGTCCCCAGTGTTACCGCTCCTGGGGATGTTTTCCCTCTCGTCTCTGCTTGACCAACTCCAGCTTTGCCCTCATGGTACATCTCAGAAGGAGTTTCTCCTGAGAAGCCTTTTCTCACTCCCCTCCCACCCCTGAGTGAACCCCAACATATTCTGCTTTAATAGTTTACATATTTATGTCCCTTCCCCAAACCCCAAACCATGAACTTCAGCTCCCCCGAGAGAGGAACTGTGTGTTCTTCCTCTTCTATTTTCCGGCATATATTAGACATGCAGTAAAAGTTTGGAGAACAAGAAAATGGGGGCAAGGGCAGAGATTTCCCAATGTTTCCTTCATGAATGCAATGCAAAGAAGCTGAAATGCACTTTTGTTTTGAAACAAGCAGGGAGCGAAGGTTCTAC